ACAGATAAAACAGATCATGATTGTTAAATGCTAATGTGGATCCTGTTTTTGGGTGATGGCACAGTATAGATACAGGCTGAAATTCTGATGTTTCAGAGGTCTTTAGTGCCTCCATCTGCAAAGTGAAGCAGAGAGTGTAACAATCTCTGAAATGTCAGGAAAACAACCTACATCCATATGGTGCCTGCCGATCCGCATCAGTACACACTGCAATACAAATTCTTTACAAACCAACATTGCATTCAGTCTTTCAGCATGCCTAGTAGTACAAAATTTGAGGTATTCACAGCAGTTGAAATTCAGATCAGGGTTTTCTGGGTTTTGATGTTGTGCAGTCTTATAGGTGGTTCAAAGCAATCTGCAAACGCAAAAATTTCCAAATGAAATGCTGATGACAACCTAACCTACATTACACAGTGTCATAACATGCCAATGAACAAGAATTAAGAGTTAAAAATATATTAAAATTTATTTCCGTCAATCACAAATATAAAGTTGTTAAAAGATTAAAACATCAATTAACGTTCCTCTTCGATTACTCGATTACATAGGAACTTACACTACTAGTAGGACCAAGAAGTAATATCGTAAGGTATATAGTAGAAACGGAGATGTATTGGACTGTAATGTATCGTGGCTGGTTACCGACTAGTAGTGTAAGTTCCTATGTAATCGAGTAATCGAAGAGGAACGTTAATTGATGTTTTAATCTTTTAACAACTTTATATTTGTGATTGACGAAAATAAATTTTAATATATTTTTAATACTTATAATCACAATATGACGCATTTACAATATCTTAAGAATTAAGAGATATTAAATTTTTTTTACAAGTAATGTATCAGATACGTACAGGAGGTGATGTGTAATATTATTTGAGGAGAAAGGGAGAATGTACTTACTTCAGTCCAACAAAGTAATGAACAGCTAAACTCAATTTCATAATAAATCAATTTTCCAATCTTAAGGATGTATCATACCTTGCCTGGAGGCAAGTGTGTGTGAACAACTGATGTTCCTTCACACGGTGACTCATCATCACCTGAGTTTATAACCGAAGTGCTGGCAAGCCCAGGGGATGAAATGACCTTGCTGTACATACTCGTAGGTTCAGTCTCTGCGAGGATCTGCGTCTCTTGAAATGGTGACATAACTGTGCTGTCATATGCAGCTATCCTGGAAGCTTCAGACTGACTGTCAGACACAGGACTCTCAGTCATGGAGATACCACAGTTTTGTCCAGCAGATGCATGTTGTAATGCATCTTCAACAGTCTGTTCTGCCTCATTACAATTGTCATTCATAGACTGTGGCACTGAGGAGTATTCCACAATGCCTATACTGTCATTCAGACTGGAATCATTTATATTTTCTAAATTGCCTGTATGACTATTTGTTAATTCCAAACTTAGAGAATTCTTGTCTAGCACAGACAAAGCTGAATCTTGTTTTTCTTCTTGTAATGTAGTGTTTTGCATAAGCAATGGCTGTCCTGTTATATCTAGATTCCTTTCCTTCTCCATCATCTCAATGGACTTTTGGGTTGCTGTTTCCTGAGCAACGCACTTGAGTCGGGTTTCATTCTTAACAGCTGCGCTCATCCCTTCGCTCTCTGAATGTTTCCGATCTGATTCATCTGTAGTATCGCTATCTTTTTCTCCCAAATAGTCACTTATTTCAGAAACTGGCTGGAGCTGTTCCACAAGCATCACTACCCGACTTTCTATATCTGGAGTTTCATCTACACTGATGCTTCGAATTGATATCGAATCTTCACTAGACAGATTTGTACTTGACACAGCCTGTGACCCATAACCACTGAAAAAAAATGAGATCACTCATTTTAATTGCAATAATAAAACCAAACTTACTACAATCTCAGAACTGGACTAAACTCAGGGTAGAAGCAATGAGACTTACCTTTGGAATAATATATTTGGCAAGGAAATCAAGGTCATTATTTAAAATCTGTATTGGTATAAAATAACTTAAAGTTATAAGGGTCAAAGCTGGGCATAAAAAGTGTATGTAAGTTCCACTAACACAAAATTCTCTAAAAATCCCTCAAAACCACCAACGTAAATTTATTCTGTTCTACAATCTTTGTCCACCTGCTGCATGCCCTAATTAGTCAGACATGATGGTACGCCACAAATTTTGCTCCGCAAAAAGGGGAATGAAACTGTACATGGACATAAATATGTATTTACATATAAATCCTTGTGCTATAATAACGCAGGCATTTGGAAACAAAACATAACGCATGTTGAATAAAACAACCAATGATGAAGCTGTGCGTGTATTATGAATTCTAATTATAAAATATTGAGACACTGGCTTTTTCTAACTATAACATGTGGAATTACAATTTTTTATAAAAATCTGGGGCACACCTGAAACCACTGGCGGAACATTGCACTTACTCAAGAATAATGCATCGGTGTGTCAGTATGACCAAGAAGTGGTGAAACATGCAGGAGATGGATAACATTATTGTAAATAAACTGAGAAATTTAATCAATTACCTTGAGGTTGTACTTGGAGTCCCCATCTTTGTCGCCTGAAGTTCACATAAAGAATCCAGAGTTCGTGAGCTTGGGAGCATTGTTTTCACCAACTGATTTTGCTTTGACTGGGAACATTCGCCCTGGAAACCAGTATTATCATACTTACAATGCTTATTTAAACCTTCAAGAATGGCGGCAGCCTCGATTGGTTGAAGTCAAATTTTACGTTCGTATTTCATTCAAGATTCTCAATGTGACATTTCATATTAATCCATTCATGGTGTCATTTCAACCAACACATGGACAACAAATGGAAGGACATAATCTACATATAAGATATTCAAGGTACGATATGAAATTCTTGAACACATTATTTTCTACACACATATTACAAGAAATGCTATATTCTGTTTCACATTCTTTCTAGATGACTTTCACATTTCTTTTTATAACAGAATGACAGGCTTATGGTACCACACACATCCAGTTTTCTTACTCTGCCATGTAAATTATATCAATTGACATTTTCATCAAACTCGGTATAAACATCACGCTACCAGACACCACCCCAAGTTGGCCACCTGATAAGATCTTATCCATTACCTCCACGACGATTTATTACAAGACGGCCAGTATGTTAAGATTTCAATTTGCCCAACAAGTAGCTATACGATAATTTCTTGTAACTTACCATCTGGTTAGATGTATCACATTTTAGTATTCATGCAAGTGGCCGACACACAAAAAATCCACAAAACAATTTTTTTTTTTATAAATAACTAAACAAACCTGATAGGACTCAAATTCAGAGAACTCTGGATCACTGTGGGTTCCATCAGCATCCACTTTACCAGAGGAGATATTATTGGTTCCATTTGATTTTACATTGCCCACTATTCCTGAAGGATGGTCCTCTCCATTATTGCATGGTTCCTTTTCTTGCATCAGGGGTGACATCTCAAGGCCAGAATGAGAACTACTGCTGCTCTGCTCTTCGTGCAGTGTTGTCATTCGCAGACCCAATTTTGAGACCGCAATGTTTGGAGATGCTGTCATAGGGAAAACATTGGCTCATATAACACTGATTAAAAACAGAATTCCAGAAAAAAGTAATATTAATTACCTATTGCAGTAACATGCCATAAAATATTAAAATCTGTTAGGAGAGTTAGATGTATTTTATATCTGCAAATACACTATGGCGAATTTGTTTCGAAAAGTATTTCTAAACAGCACAGTAATATTTATTGCACACAACCATGAACTACACCATAAACAAGAGTGGAAAGATATTCTCTAGAAAAGTTTCCATCGAATTCAGCATATTTACCTTCCAATCTTTTACTACTCATAGGAAAAGAAAATTTCACGCTACTGTAAATATGTCTTAAACAGGAACAACACAGAAATAATACTATCACTGATTCCATGTAAAAGAAATGGCAGGAGGAAGTTATAAGAGAGACAGAGAGAGAAAAAGATGGGAACAAGTGTTAATCATGATTACTGGTGTAATTAAATTACGACTACAGACTGGCAGCACATCCAAACAGTGAAACTAAGAAAACAATTTCATGTGAAGTAAATTACAACTGTGAACAATTTCTAAAATGTCTACGTTGATCTTCTGGGTTGTAACCATGTAGACTTGTTTGTAGATACCAACGTTTCTGAAAAAAACATACTGGCTCCATCTTCAAGGTTAAAGAAAGACTGGATGTGTTCCCAGGCTGTTCTGAGCAGTACTGATGTGGAAGACCCACCAAGAATCACATCACTCATGCAGACCATGCCCCAGTCACTTTAATGAATTAAACTAGTTAATTATATAATATGCTGTTGTTTTGTATGGGTGCGAAACATGGTCTCTCACTCAGAGGGAGGAACACAGATTGCAGGTGTTTGAGAATTGGGTGTTGAGGAGGATATTTGGGCCTAAGAGGGAAGACGATGGGGCGTGGAGAAAACTGCACAATGACGAGCTTAAAAATCTGTACTCCTCCCCCAGTATTGTCAGGGTGATTAAGTCGAGAAGAATGAGATGGGCGGGACATGTAGCGCGCATGGATGGGACAAGAGGTGTGCACCGGGTA